AATTATGCAACTACTCAACTCTGCCATTGCAGTGCAAAAGCAGCTGCAGACAATTCCAAAACAAAAGGGCGTGGCTGTGTTCCAATAAAACTTTATTTAAAAAAAAACAGATGGTGGGCCAGATTTCACCCACAAGCTGTATAGTTTGCTGATTTCTGGGTTAAATAAAATATTAAATATATTAAAGTTAGTTTCACTTGTTTCTTTTACTTCTTAAAATATGGCTACCAGAAAATCTCAGATTACATTTTGGCTTATATTATATTCCTATTGGACCAGACTGGTGTAAGCACTTTACAAATATTAACTCTGGGGGATGATGCTTTTACTCTGCGAGGTGTGGCGGTGGTGTGTGTGTGTGTATGGGTGTAGGGTGAGATGTGTGGATTCCAATGACAGCTTAGAGCAGGTGTGGAGTTGGCTTGCTGGCCTGGCTCCCCCACTGCTGAGTGTGGAGCCCGAGTGCAGGCTGGCTTGCGGAGGCTTCCTGCAGGTATCCGGACCTGACTGAGCCCTTTCTCTTTTCTAGAGTTCACCGCTGGATTAAAGGTAAGTTCCCTAAAGGGCCACCGGGTGGTGCTGTCGGACCACATGCCATGATGGCTGGCCCGCTGGAAACCCATGCTCTCCTGGCCCTGCCATAGGCTGTGTGGCTTTGGACCTGTTTCCTCACCTCTAAACAGGATTAGACTAGACTGGAAAGAACACAAACTTTGAAGGCAGGCAGACCGGGATTTGAATTATGGCTCCACCTGCGGCCCAATTGTGATTTTATTTTTATTTATTTATTTATTTTGAGACGGAGTTTCGCTCTTGTTACCCAGGCTGGAGTGCAATGGCGCGATCTCGGCTCACCACAACCTCCGCCTCCTGGGTTCAAGCAATTCTCCTGCCTCAGCCTCCCAAGTAGCTGAGATTACAGGCGCGCACCACCATGCCCAGCTAATTTTTGTATTTTTAGTAGGGACGGGGTTTCACCTTGTTGATCAGGATGGTCTCGATCTCTTGAACTTGTGATCCCCCCCTGGGCCTCCCAAAGTGCTGGGATTATAGGCCTGAGCCACTGTGCCCGGCCCCTATTGTGATTTTAATGAGCCTTAGGTACCTTTGTCTTCATAGATCCTTTCCCCATAAAAAATATTAAAAATTATGCTTTACGACTATATTGGTATAAAGACAAACATGCTATTATGTTAATTTTTTTCTTTGTCCCCAAAGTTCATGTTTTTCTTTCTGATTCTGAAAGAAATTAACACGTTTCTGTGGGTCCTAGGCATGGTGCCTTCTGTGCCTAATGGGTGAGTCACCTGGGTTCACTACTCCCCAGCTGTGTGACCTTAGGCAAGATGTTTAACTTCTCTGGGCCTCATTTTCCTCGACTATAAAATGGAGATGACATCAGACTCTACCTCAGGGCTGCGGTTGGAATTCAGTGAGATGGCCCGAGCCGCTGCCTCTTTGCACACAGCCTGCCAGAGAAGCCCTTAGCAAATGGCAGCTGTTACTTATTATTACCTGTAAGCACATTTTCAGCTCTAGCCTCTCTGAAACTGTGAAAAGATATCAGCAGTCAAAATCTCAAAGTAAATATAACTTGGAAAAATAAAACTCCCAGGGTGTTCGGTGTATAGAGTTTCCCAGAGTATAGAGGAGCAGCAGGAGGAGTTTCTGCAAATGATCGACCTCCTCCCACCTGCCATCGGAGAACGGATGTGAGGTAGGGCCATGGGCTGGTACCACCCAGCCAGAAGCCGAGCAGGCTGGGGAATATGTGCCAGGCAGGGAGACCCTTGGGAAAGGGCTGAGTGTGTGCGTGTGTGTGTGTGTGCGAGCACACACACGCACACACCTGCATCCATAGATTCTTGTTTCCTTAAATTCCCTTATTTTGACTTAATTTCAGTTGCTTCCTTGAATCCTAAAGATTGATGTCACTGTTGTCAGGGTCGTGGGAACTGTGGGGATCTACTCCTCCTTTGAAATATGACCCAGGTGCAAGTGATGCGGGAATGCTGGCTCAGTCAAGATTATTCAGGTGGAAGCCTGCCCTGATCAGGAGACTCAGCAGCTGAGGTGAGTGTGGGCCTCTCAGTCGCCCTGCTTCCTACCCTCACATCTGCCTGAGCCGGGTGCCTTTCCTCTTTCCAAGAGGGACAAGAGATGTGGCTCCCAGTTTGTCGCCATTTCCTGGTTTGGCAGCTACTCTTTATACCTGCCCTGTCCAGCCCAAGGGGGAGGTAGGGGCAGGGCTGCTGAATTGCAGGAGCTCCCTTCAGGCACCCCACCCCCAGCAGGGTCAGGGTGAAGGTCACTGGGGGAGGATTTGGGATTGGTGGCAGGAAAAGGGTGTTGACAAGGAAGAGGATGTCACAAGGACTGGGATTGGGGCGTCTCCATCCTCAGGCTTACTTGCCAAAATGTTTGTCGTGGTGAATGACAAAGAAATGGAATCCTGGCATGATCCATGTGTGGCAAAAGTTAATTCACCATAACCAAACTAGAGCAACTCAAGTGATTCTCCTGCCTCAGCCTTCTGAGTAGCTGGAACCACAGGCACTCAACACCACACATGGCTAATTTTTCACTGAACAAAAGTTCAGATGGGGTCTTGCCATGCTACCCAGGCTGGTCTCAAACTCCTGAGTTCAAGTGATCCTCCCACCTCAGCCTCCCAAAATGCTGGGATTACAGGTGTGAGCCACTGCACCCAGCCAAGCTTTAGGCTAAACTAAAAGGGTGCCTATGACCAGGGGACACCCCTCTTCCCCAAAAGGCCACCAGAGTTCCTTGCCCAGGCCAGACCAGGCGATCCACAGGAATGGGAGGATGTTTGCAGCTCCATTAGGTTGTGGGCAGTGAGACATGCTCTGCTCTGTGCTTTCTTGTCTGGCAGAATTTGGCCTGAATAAGAGCTGGCACATGTCTGTGGCTCCAGTAACCCGCTCCTGGACAGGAGCGGAGGGATGCCTTGTTAGAGAGGAAGCTGCAGGGTGTCAGGACCAAGTGAAAGCCATGGACAGACTCATTTAGTGTCTGGCCCTCCTTCCCATTCCTCCCGCAGCCAGCATGGAGCCCCAGACCCCGGTGGCCGGGGCCCTTGTCCCAGCCACGCCGGCTGTCAGAGCTTGCAGTGCTTTGGGCAGAAGGATGAGCCTCTCCCTCTGGAATATGACTCGCTTGACCTTTTTTTTTTTGACAGAGTCTCACTCTGTTTCCCAGGCTGAAGTGCAATGGCACGATCTCAGCTCACTGCAACCTCCACCTCCAGGTTTCAAGCAATTCTCGTGCCTCAGCCTCCCAGTAGCTGGGACTACAGGAGCATGCCTCCATGCCTGGTTAATTTTTTGTATTTTTAGTAGAGACAGGGTTTCATCATGTTGCCCGGGCTGGTCTTGAACTCCTGAGCTCAGGCAATCCGCCCACCTTGGCCTCCCAAAGTGCTAGGATCATAGGCGTGAGCCACTGTGCCTGACCTTCTTGACCATTTTGGACCTTGGAAACTGGCAAGCTTCCTGAGATGGTGAACCCTAGCTCAGAAAAAGGGTACCAGATGTATTAACAACCTTGCCATCGCTCCCTCGCCCCACCGATTCCAGTGAGACCTCTGAGCTTAATTGGACATTTGGGGAAGATGGTTTCCCCTGCTTAATCAGGGCCCTGTAGATTTGATTCTCCAAGTCAGATGTTACATAATTTTAAGTGTCAGACTTGTGGTCTTTTTCTCCCACATGAAAAGTCACATCCTCCCTAATATATTAAAAGAAAAAAACAAGGAGTGGAACCATGCATATGGTGTGCTATATTTTGTATTTTTAAGGTTACATATGGTGCTCATTTGTGTGCAGACTCTCTGGAAGAACACGTGAGCTGGGAAGAGAGGCTGTTTCTGAGACAGGAAATTCGGGGATGGGGTCAGGGCACAGCATTCCTTTTCCCTGCTTCTTCTTCGGTGCTGCTCGCACATTTAGCCCTGCTCATGTACGACTTGAACAAAGAAACATCAGGGAAACAAAGCAAAACAAACAAAAATGGGCATCTTGGATACAGGCTAAATGGTACTGTGTTGCTGGACTCCGATGAGCATCCTTGGTTGTAGAAAGATAAAACCCTCAAGTCCCAGCCAGCCCACTAGGTGTTTGTCACACTGGGCCCCCAAAGACCCCCAACACTGGCCCTGGTGACAAATACAATGTGGTAGGTGTTGCAATAGAGGTAGGGTGCACATGGGGGCTAGAGGCACTTGGCCAGGGCTCTGGAACAAGGCAGGGCATGCGGTGGCTGAGCCAAGAGAGAGCATGAGGTATGCAGGGTGGAGGACATCCTCCTGGAGCAAGGGTTCGGGGTGGGACCATCACAGAAGGTGGGGATGGCCCAATACACCAGATAACCGTCATAGTGGCCAAGACTGAGCTCTCTCTGATGGTGATGGGAGCCCCTGAAGGAGGTATGGGCAGGGGGTGGGATTGAGAGTGGGCTGTGGTCAGATTAGTATTTCAGAGGATGACACTGGTGGTTCCTGGGCTGGCTAAGTTGGAAAAGGACAATTCAAAGGCAGAGAAACCAGATAGGAGTGGCTTTTACCCTTCAACCCTCTGAGACGTGGTGGTGGCCTGACTTCAGACATGAGGGGGCAGATTCTTAAAAGAGTTAATTGCCCAAATCACAGGGGGCAGCTGGGGTCTTGGTGTTTCTGGTCATTGCTCATGGAACAGGACCTCTCATGAGGACTGAAAGCGGATGCTCTTCCTCCTCCTGCAGCCTCTGGCATGACAGGGTTGACAGGGATAGTGACAGTGGACAGGGCTCTGGCTCAGCATAAAGACCATCATTTTAGACTACAAATGCCCCTGGTTCCCTTTTGGACAATTCAGGGAATGTATGAAACCAAGAGAGACATAACAGATTCTCCTTCCAATTTGGCTCAAGTTAAAATAAATTCAGGGCAAAACACAGAAGCAGTGGGACCAGTCTTGTTACCTAAGTGCAGGGAGCAGTTCACATCCATTAGAGAAACGTTTTATTTAGAGGAAAGAAATGGTTAAAAGATGACACCCTTGGATCTAGGAGTGTTTGCTCTTTGTCTTCTTCCTTGGAGTGATGGATTTTTTGCTGTTGGTGAGGGCCCTTGAAGACTGTAGTTTAAATTCAACTGGAAAGTGGTCGCTGACATCCAGGGCCTGTAAGGAGAAAAGGGAGGTAGATTTGGAAATTAGGAGATGCCTGGGAGATGCTTTCATCAGTGATGAGCAAATTCAGAACCAGGGAGGGGAGATGAAATGCCGGAAGTCATCCCACAGAACACACATTGGTGCGCGTCAGCCCAGGATCAGCTCCATCCGAAATCTATCAGATCACAGAATCATAGACATTGAGACTCAAGGAATAGTGCCCCATGTTGTGTCTTCAGTGGTGACCGCAAAGGATAACATTAACCCATCGTGTGTGCGTGGCAGAATCTCATTCTGTTGCCCAGCCTGGAGTGCAGTAGTGTGATCTTGGCTCACTGCAACCTCCGCTTCCCAGACTAAAGTGATCTTCCCACCTTAGCCTCCCAAGTAGCTGGGACCATAGGCATGCACCACCACGCCTGGCCAATTTTTTATAGAGATGGGGTCTGGCCCTGTTTCCCAGGCTAATCCATTTTTCCCGGATAGTGGCATAGAAAGACAAGACAGCAGCCTTACCTTCTCTTCAGACAGCTTGTAAGCTTTCTGGAAGTCAAAAACGCTGGTTGACTTGGGAACAATAGAACTGACGATTTCTTGTCCTCTAAGCACAATCCTGGAGCAAGGGAAGGGAAAACAGTTGTGTTAATTCACCCTGTGGGTTACTGAGATCAAGCCAAGGTCTGTGTTTGCTATGGAATTGACTGAGCAGCCTGGCCCTTTTATGTGGTGCTCAAAGTCCAGACCTGATTTTAGCCTGTGACCCTGAAGGACAGTGCCTATGACTTTGAAATAGGATCAGTCCCTGCCATGGTTCTGTGGACACCAGGACACCGTCTCCCAGTATGGGCAATGTCCCTGGTGGAGTAGGAGAAGATTTTATATGACACGTGCACACTATCCTATACAACAGTGACGTGCGTACTGAGAACGCTGTTCCCTTTCCAATTATTTTTCACTTTTCCTGATTTGATCATGGAGAAATTCAGGGAGGTGCTTGTTTGTCTTTAATACCTCCCTAAGCTCCTGTGTTGACAGAGAGAAGGCTGCCATCTCTGAGCATTCTGTAGGCAAGAGAATGAAGGCAGAATTTAACAATGTGTGATTTTCACCAGACTTAATTTTTAATGTGACTTTCAATTTATGGCAAATGATGCTTCTTTCTTACTCATGTTAGTATTAAAAAGTTTCTTTAAAAATTTATTTCAGTACAACATTAAGGGATTTAATGAAAAATACTGAGAAAAATCACAGTATATATGTGCTCTGCAGTAATGACAAAAAGTGAGAATGAGGTGGTCAAAGGAGTTTTGGAAACAGACTCAACATATCCCACGTTGGGTGATGCAGTTGGGGTCCACGTGGTCCTGAGTGACTTACCGAGGAACGGCAAGGTGAGTCAACCTGCCATTTCCTGAGTGCCCACTGGGCCTTTCCCATTCCAATCGACAGTTTTGGTGTCTGTATTTGCTAATACCACCACCATGGCTTTTTTCTTTTCTTTTCTTTTCTTTTTTGAGACGGAATCTCGTTCTGTCGCCCAGGATGGAGTGCAGTGGCGTGCTCTCAGCTCACTGCAACCTCCGCCTCCAGGGTTCATGTGATTCTCCTATCTCAGCCTCCCAAGTACCTGGGATTACAGGTGTGTGCCACCACGCTTGGTTAATTTTTGTATTTTCAATAGAGACAGGGTTTCACCATGTTGGCCAGTCTGGTCTTGAATTCCTGACCTTAGGTGATCTGCCAGCCTCAGCCTCCCAAAGTTGCTGGGATTACAGGTGTGAACCACCGTGCCCGGCCTACGGCTAACTTCTAATTCAACCCAAATGTAAATTCTTCACATCAGGTTAGAGATTTGTGAAAGCTTTCTCTAAGTCTCAGAAAGCCAAGAACGACGTGTTTAAGGCTCCTCTGTTTCTGACTTCTTTTAGGGATGTGCCGGACCCGGTCAGTGTTCCTGTGAAGGTTTCCCAGGCTGGTCCAGGGCACGGCCAGGTCCTGGCGTTTGCATGTTCCCCCAGCACTCAGCACATGAGAGGTGTTCAATAAGTATGTGAACACAGAACGAAGACTGGAATTGAGACCATCTTGCCTAGCTCCATTTTTAAAACATCATTTTTATGGCTTTTTATTTTCTCAATTTATTTTATTTAGTTTTACTTTTGATTGTATTGTATTGAGACAGGTCTCACTATGGTGCCCAGGCTGGAGTGCAGTGGCTATTCCAAGGCATGTGGTCATGTTGCTCTAAAGCCTTGAACCCCTGGGCTCAAGTGATCTTCCTGCCTCAGCCTCCCAAGTAGCTGGGATTACAGCATATGCCACCACACCTGGCCTATGACTTTTTAAAAGCCATAAGAGGCCAGGCGTGGTGGCTCACACCTGTAATCCAAGCACTTTGGGAGGCCAAGACGGGCAGATTATCTGAGGTCGGGAGTTCAAGACCAGCCTGGCCAACATGGCGAAACCCCGTACTAAAAGTACAAAAAAATTATCCAGGCATGGTGGTGTGTGCCTGTAATCCCACCTACTCAGGAGGCTGAGGCAGGAGAGTTGCTTGAACCCAGGAAGTCGCAGTAACCTGTGCCACTGCACTCCAGCCTGGGTGACAGAGCAGAACTCTGTGTGAAGAAAAAAAAAAGCCCCAAGAGTTACACATGTTATGAAAAACAAATTCAGAGCATCAAAATAAGAAATTAGTCTTCAAAATGTTGCATGTGATCCCACCATCCATTGGCATTTATGTGTCTAAAATCAGGATCCTTTCAGTACACATCTTTTTCTAACCTATTCTGCCTCCCACCTGATCTCCTATGGCCATGTTGCCTTATGATTCTTCTGTATCATTTTCAATCACTTCCCACTCATTGGCCAGGGGAGAGAAATGGCGCTGGAGAAGCTACTTGACCTACCCAAGGGCACACAACTGGCATGTGTGTGTGACTGAGTGGCCATCGACCCAGTTTTGCAGGAAGCCCTTCAAAATAGGGGGCGGGGATGGTCTGGGCACTGAGTCCCCTGTAACTCCCACCTTGGCTTTCCACTTTGCAAAGTGATGACTTTGCAAAGGAAACACCAGCCCCAAAAGCTCCAAGAGGAACGGAGGTCATGGGATAGAAATGAAAGCTAGACCTTGGGACTTGAGAAGTGAAAATGAGGGGCCCAGCAGCTCTCTTGCAGATGGCTGTCTCACACTTCCTCGTGGAGGGCTGAGCTCTGGGAACTGTGGCCACCACCTGGGACCAGGCTCTGAGGGTTTTCCCCGCCTGTGGCTCCTGCACAGAAGATCACTGACATTCACACGCCTCCCACTGCTGTCCCCATTGAAGGAGCAAAGATGAAAGCTGTTTGAAGATCAGCTTTAAAAAGCACAGGGAATGCTATGACTTCAATGTATGCATTTGCATTTAGGAGTACGTAACTGAAGCTTTAAACGTATAAATACTGTTGCACTAATTGGTCTCATTTTTAGAGTCGTTTCCTGAGGAAATCACAAATATTTGCACAAAATGCACATACAGGATATTCATTTTAGCAGTATTTATAACAGCAAACCCTTGGCAATAGCCTAATGCCTAATGATGGGTATTGGATGAATAAATTGGGGCAAGTCTTCGTGATGGAACAATTAACAGCCCGTGCATGTGATGAGCACTTGCTGCATGCCAGGCGTGGTGCTAGCAGCCTGACATGTTATTTCATTTACTCCACGTCAGAGCTTCATGAGTGAGGCACTATGATAATTTCCATTTTACAGGTAAGAAAATGAAGGCACAGACTGCTTGTCTCTTGGCCACAGACATATGAAGTGGTGGTGTCAGGACTTAAATCCGGGCCTGTATGACACCGAAGCCAGTGCTTACCTCCGCTAAGCTACCATGCCCAGGGCCACCACCTAGGGTCCTGTGGTGCATACACTGCATGTGGTACCTGGTAGAGGTGGCTGAAATTTGACTCAGCTCTCTAAGCAGTGTGCTTTTATTATTTTTTAATTTTTGAGACAAGGTCTCACTGTTACCCAGGCTGGAGTGCAGTGGTACAATCTCAGCTCACTGCAGCCTCTACCTCCTGGGCTCAAGCAATCTTCCCACCTCAGCCTCTTGAGTGGCTGGGACTATAGGTGTGTGCCTGGCTGATTTTTGTATTTTTTTTGTAGAGAAGGTGTTTTGCCATCTTGCCCAGGCTGGTCTCAAACTCCTGTACTCCAGCAATCCACCCATCAAGACTTCCCAAAGTGCTAAGACTGCAGGTGTAAGCCATGGCGTCCAGCCACGTTGCGCCTTTTCTAGTGCATGCCATGCACTGTGGCGAGCCGGCAGCATCCTGCAGGGGCCTCCTACCTGTCATATGCACAGTTGGTGCTCTTCTTCACCGTGGTGTCCTCTTGGTCCCCAATCAGCCACACAAACCTGGGGTCGATCCTCAGGCGGATGTTCTTCCAGGCCTTCTTGGGGACGTAGCTGCAGCCGGCATTGAAGTCACCCATGAAAATGAAATTCTAAAAGCCAAGATTGGGAATGGTCACCTGGTGGGTGCTGCTGCAGAATGCTTTCACCCAGGACTCCAACAAAGACTCCACCTCCAGGCCCAGTAAACAACAGGGTCTGTCGTGCGCTGAATCCTGTCTACCCACTGCCCCCACCCAGGCCAAACTCCTATTTGAAGTACTAACCCCCAGCACCTTAGAATGCAACGTATTTGGAGCTAGAACCTTGAAAGAGATAATTAAGGTAAAATGGGGTCATATGGGTGGGCTCTAATCCAATATGACTGGCGTTCTTATAAAAAGGGGAGATTAGGACACAGAAAAACGGAGCGAAGATCATGTAAAGACACTGGAAGAAGACTGTCATCTACAAGCAGGGAGAGAGGCCCCCAAAGGAAACCCCACTGCCAGCTCACCTTAATCTGGGACTTCCAGCCTCCAGAACGGTGAGGAACTCACTTGTTTGAGCTACCCAATCTTTGGTATAGCACTTGGTTTTGGCAGCTCTAGCAAATGAATACAGGGTCTTTAAAAATTTCTTTTCGCCGTTTAAAATTGAGTCACAGTTTTGAGGAGTCAATGACAGGTGACTGTGTACCAGGGAGGGTGCTGGTAACGGGAAGGAGGAGGTTTGCTGTTCTTAGTTACCATATTTCCATAATTCAGCATGCAGTTAGGTGGGGATTTAAGGAATTCAGTGAATCTATTCCCTTACATCTTGTGTCTCTGGCTCAAACTACTGTAGGGTATAAACATATGAGTGAATCAACACCGTTTGTTTCCAAGCAGAAAATTGAATTTGGGTGGTGTATCGACAGCCTGGGCATCACTCTTTCTCTCCTATTGTTTTGAAGTCGGAAACTTATTTCTGTGAAAATTCAGTCCCTTGAGGAAGTGGGAGGTATCTTCAGGGGAGGGGACCATTGAGTGAGCTGTCCACCCCCACCCAAGGTCATCAACAGAAACTTTCTATCTTGGAAATATTTTTCCCTGCCTGGCTCTTGGAGCAGAATCGTCAACATTCCATAATCCAGAGGAAGTGCCAGATTTCCTTGTTTGTGTTATTGTTTGGTGGAGCATTGCTGACGTTAGAGTTTTCTTCAAGAACATTTTATTTTGACCTTGGTGATCACGATTTTCCCTGTGATTGATGGGTTCAGCTGAAGACGGTTATCTTCCTTACCCTCAGTGATCACCAGCTTCTGCTAATACAGACATGATTTGCTGAGCATTCGCTATGTGCCAGGCCTAGCATTAGGTGTCTTTAAATGTACACCTCACAGCAATAAACAATAGGAGGTAGAAGGGCCCACCAACCTCTGTAGAAACAGGATTGAGAGATTCAGTGACCTGCTCTAGGCCACAGGATAAGGAGGTTCAAGTGGTGAAGTCAAGAATCATACCCCGGTCTGCTTCACTGAGGCAGTTTCCCCTCTTCTTCACTTTTAAGGGACTGATGCCTCCCCACAGCCCAACACTCAATGGATGCTCAATACATTTTTGTTGAATAAGTGAATGATTTCATAATTTTTGGAAAGAATGAATCTTGCTTTTGACCTATTTCTTATTAAGCAATGAAATACACCCTGGTCTTTTCCATGCCCAGCTCCGATGGACTATGTTCACACTTTTATTTGATTCATTTTGCACTTTGAGCAGCGGAACTCAGGAGGAGGAAGGGGGATCCCAGGAGTCACATTCCGAAAGGAAAAAAGAGAAATACAGAAGAAGAACCCTGGGGCACTTCCATATTTGCCAAGAGCTTTCACAGGCCCTCAGAGCCACAAGTGGTGCATCTCTCTCTTCCAGAAGTGGAAAGAACTGAGTCTATAGGGATGGCAAATGTGTGCCCCCTTCTGTGAAAACAGTACCCCAAGTTTCTTTTGGAGACCACCCATCTCTCCTCCACCTCAAACAATGAGTTTGGGGTGGAGCTGGTGTGGACATAGATTTAGCCAATCAGAGTATCTCAACCCCTGATCACAATGATTGGTTCAGGGATGAACATATGACCCAGGCAGAGCCAATGAGACTCAATCCCAGAGTATTTATTGCATTGTGGGAAAGAAAATGTATCAGTTGGTCTGGAGGCTGCTGGTGGCCTTCTTGCCATCCCATAGGTGGAGGCAACCTGAGAAGGGAGCCACACAGAGGAAAGGGGGACCAGGAGATGGAAAGGAAGAGACAAATCAAGCCCTGATTACCTTGTCTGAGCCCTGGATCCAGCTATGCCTGAACTACTCCTGGACATTTCAGTTACACAAATCAATCAATTGCTCCTTCTTTTCATGAGCCATGTTAAGATTCTGTCACTTGCAGCTGAAACAATCCTGATCTGTCTATGCCTCATGCTTCTCAATTGCAAAGTGGGAATGAGAAAGGTACTGTAGCTACCTCAAGGGTTTATTGGGAGGATTACATAAATTTGTCCATGTCAAGCCTCAGCTAGTACTTGGCACTAGCTATTCACTCAGTAAATGTTGGCATCTGTTATTAATGGGAAAGTGTGGATTCACAAGGCCCACATGCAGGGTACCCAGGCAGATTTAGCAAGAGGGATACTTAGGGCTGAAGAAAGGCCTAAAAGGAGGCTGTAAGTGGTGGTGGCCTGCACATGCCCTGCCCCTCCCACTCCCAGGAGAGGTACTCATCCCACTCAGGGACCAGAGCCTGCCCCTGCTAGATGGGAAAATGGCTGACACAGCGGTCATCACCTCTGCCTTCCAGCGGTGTTTCATGTCCATGTAGACATCAAACAACTCATCGATCTCTTTAACGGATGTTTCTGGAGTGGTGTGCAGGGGGACAATCACGAAGTCTTTGACAACTGAGGAACAGGAAAGAGGCAGAGGTCACACACTTCCCCTGTCAAGGTCTCACAAACACTGCTGGAGGGAAACAGGCTCTCCCCTCCAGAAGGCTGCATTGTCTGGGTCCTCAGTTCCCAGAGGGTCCAGCCAATGGTGGAGATTTTAATGATCTTGAGGTCATTAGGCTGCCTATTTTTAATACATGAAAGACTCATTTCTCCTACTTACCCTTCATGGCTAAGAGAAAGCTGCTAGACTGTGTTCCATGCTGCATTGTGGGTGCTTTTATTTTCCTATTTTTGTGTGTGTGGCAAATCTATATTTTCTTTTGTTTCTGATGTATATTAACCCTCTTCTTTCTTTTTTAATTGACAGGTAAAAATTGTATATATTTATGGCTGTATTTTCTGCCTTTTTCTTAAAGTTTTCTTTTCTTTTCCTTTTTTTAAAGACAAAATTTCGCTCTTGTTGTCTAGGCTAGAGTGCAATGATGCAATCTCAGCTCACCGAAACCTCTGCCTCCCAGGTTCAAGTGATTCTCCTGCCTCAGCCTCCGGAGTAGCTGGGATTACAGGCATGCGCCATCACACCCAGCTAATTTTTTGTTTTGTTTTCTTTTTAAATAGAGCTGGGGTTCCTTCATGTTGATCAGGCTGGTCTTGAACTCCCAACCTCAGGTGATCTGCCCACCTTGGCCTCCCAAAGTACTGGGATTACAGGCGTGAGCCATGGTGCCCGGCCTATTTTTGGCTTTTTAAAAATAACAAACCTGTTTGGTGTTTGTACTAAGGAAAAAAAAAATTTCTTTTCTTTTCTTTTTTTAATTTTTTCCCAAGATGGAGTCTTGCTCTGTTTCCCATGCTGGAGCATAATGGTGTGATCTCAGTTCACCAAAACCTCTGCCTCCTGAGTTCAAGCAATTCTCCTGCCTCAGACTCCCAAATAGCTGGGATTACAGGCACACACCACCATGCCCCACTAATTTTTTGTACTTTTAGTAGACACAAGTTTTCACTATGTTGGCCAGGCTGGTCTTGAACTCCTGACCTCATGATCCACCTGCCTCAGCCTCCCAAAGTGCTGGGATTACAGGCGTGAGCCACCTCGACCAGCTGCAGATTTTCTAATTAAAAAAAAATTGGCCGGGCACAGTGGCTCTCACCTGTGATCCCAGCACTTTGGGAGGCCAAGGCAGGTGGATCACCTGAGGTTGGGAGTTCGAGACCAGTTTGACTAACATGAAGAAACCCCCATCTCTACTAAAAATACACACAAAAAATTAGCCAGGCATGGTGGCACATCCCTGTAATCCCAGCTATTTGGGAGGCTGAGGCAGGAGAATTGATTGAACCCGGGAGGCAGAGGTGGCAGTGAGCTGAGATTGCACCATTGCACTCTAGCCTGGGTAACAAGAGAGAAACTCCATCTCAAAAAAAAAAAAAATTGAGGCTTGGCAGTTTGTACTCCTTTTGTAATTAAGAACAAAAAATCTGCCCACAATCCCAGCACTTTGGGAGGTCAAGGTGGGCAGATCACGAGGTCAGGAGTTTGAGACCAGCCTGGCCAACATGGTGAAACCCCATCTCTACTAAACATACAAAAAATTAGCTGAGTATAGTGGTGGGTGCCTGTAACACCAGCTACTCGGGAGACTGAGGCAGGAGATTCACTTGAACCCGGGAGGTGGAGGTTGCAGCGAGCCGAGATCGTGCCGTTGCACTCCAGCCTGGGTGACAGAGTGAGACCATCTCAAAAAGAAAAAAAAAAGTTCCAAAAAGCTATTTAAAAATTAGCACAGTATTCACAAAGGACTTTTGTGCAGTGACTGAAAACCTTCCTCACCATTGGAGGACCAAGACAGCCTGAGTGTGGCAATGTGGGTGAGCCTTAGAAGCCATACCTGGACCACCTGCTAACAGCAGCTGTCGCCTTCTAAGCACCTCCTCCTGGGACTTCCCCTCATTCTCAGCCTGGATCCCCCTCTTGCCTCAAGAGGCAAGGGCTGTGGGATGGTCACTGTTCGAGTCACACAGAGAGGAGCCAGGACTGAGCCCAGCAGGCTGCCTCCAGGGCCCCACGTGCCCTCATCCCTGGCTCCTCCTCAGGCCTCCCCTGCACTCCCCCATCCTCTTTTGGTCCCCCTAAACACTCCAGCCTCCTTCCCACTTCCCTCTTGTTCACTGTGCCCTCTACCTGGAATGCCCTTTCTCCAGCCCTCTGTATGGCTGGCTTCTTCAGGTCACAGCCTGGTGTCACCTCCTCTGTCTTATCTGGTGCCCTCAACAGAGCCTGACACATAGTAGATACTGAAAAAATATTTGATCCTTGACTCCATCAAGCACTGTATAGTGGTTAACATGGGCTTGGGGCAGGCAGATGGCTTGAGCTCAGAGGCTCAAGAACAGCCTAGGCAACATGGCAAGACCTCATCTACAAAAAATTTAAAAATTAGCTGAGTGTGGTGGTGCATGTCCATAGTCTGAGATACTTGGGAGGCTGAGGTGGGAAGACTGTTTGAGCCCAGAAGGCAGAGGTTGCAGTAAGCCAAGATCATGCCCCTGCATTCCAGACTGGGTGACAGGGCAAGGCCCTGTCTTGAAAACAGAAAACAAAAAACAAAAAATCTTGAGCTCCTGAGGTGGTGGCCTGAGTTACAGCCCTGGCCTGTCTGTTTCAGTAGCTGGGTGACTCCACGCCTTTCTAAACCACAGTTTCCTGAAATGTAAAGTGTAGATAATCCACTCCCTACCTTGTAGTCATTGCAAGGATTACGGGAGGCTGGAACTGAATCAGGGACCAGTACAAGTATTGTCGTTAGAGGTGAGGGAGCAATACATTTGGATTTCCTTTCCCCCTGCAACCTGTGGAGGAGACTGCGATGCAGTGACCGGAGGGAGAGCAAGCCTCTAGGATAGGGGTCCCTTAACCCATAACTTGGATTTTTTTCTTTTTTTTGAGACAGAGTTTCGCTCTTGTTACCCAGGCTGGATTGCAATGGCTCAATCTCGGCTCACCGTAACCTCCGCCTCCTGGGTTCAAGCAATTCTCCTGCCTCAGCCTCCCGAGTAGCTGGGACTACAGGCATGCACCACCACACCCAGCTAATTTTTGTATTTTTAGTAGAGACGGGGTTTCACCATGTTGACCAGGATGGTCTTGATCTCTTGACCTTGTGATCCACCCACCTCAGCCTCCCAAAGTGCTGGAATTATAGGCGTGAGCCACCTCTCCTGGCCTTTTTTTTTGAGACAAAGTCTTGCTCTGTCGCCAAGCACCAGGCTGGAGTGCAGTGGTGCAATCTCGGCTCACTGCAACCTCTCCCTCCCTGGTTCAAGTAATTCTCCTGCCTCAGCCTCCCGAGTAGCTGGGATTACAGGTGCCTGCCACCACACCCAGCTAATTTTTGTATTTTTAGTAGAAATGGGGTTTTACCATGTTGGTCAGGCTAGTCTCGAACTCCTGACCTCAGGTGATCCACCCTCCTTGGCCTCACAAAGTGCTGGGATTACAGGCATGAGCCACCATGCCCAGCAAGGATTTTTAAAAAGGAAAAAGGGGCTCGAGCTGTTGCTGTTAAGATGGGAACCAGCTCGATCTCAATTTAAAAAATAATAAAATAAAATAAAAAGGAAGGAATAGTTGTTCTTGACAGGGCCAAGGAATTGCAGAAAATAATTTCCATGAGCCTAAATGCTCCAAAGAGAGTGGAGCTACTATTGATTCCAGAAAGTGGGTTCCGGGCTGGGGAGGTCTTAAGTCATGGCATTCTGAGAAGCAAGCCTGGTGCCATCACACTGAAATTTATCGTCTACATTGAGATATCAGAAGCGATGCACAGTCGCATTCAGCCTAATGCCTCCCTAATGGGCTGCATAAACCTGAACTCATGAACAAGGCTGCTGTGCATTCATGGGGCGTTGGGGAGGTCCCAGACAGAGGGGCCTGCGAGTCTTACCAGTGTAGGGTGACTGGAACCAGACCACAAAGGGTTCTCTAGAAAACACATCTGCATCTCCATCCTGATAGTCATGGTACTGATAGCTCCTCTTCACAGACACCAGCTTTTCCCTAAAAGAAAGAAAAGGAAGTCCTCCCGGTTGAGTCAACCCTTTGCTTACTCCTTTCACGAAGCAGAGACGTAGGGTCCCACAGTTTTTTTTAGAATATAGAGCAGGCGCAAGCACGGGATCATTTGCTTGAGAACAAGGCTGAGTCAACTCTTCTCAACAGCCAGGTAGCTGTTGAGAAGCTGGGAGCTGAAGCCGTACTGATTATCTAGGGCACCCACAAGTTAATGTTCAGACTTAAGAAATTACTAATAAGGCCGGGCACGGTGGCTCACACCTATAATCCCAGTACTTTGGGAGGCCAAGGCAGGTGGATCATGAGGTCAGGAGTTCGAGACCAGCCTGGCCAACATGATGAAACCCTGTCTCTACTAAAAATACAAAAATTAGCTAGGCATGGTGGTAGGCACCTTTAATCCCAGCTACTCAGGAGGCTGAGGCAGAAGAATCGTTTGAACCTGGAGGAGGAGGTTGCGGTGAACTGAGACTTCGTCTCAAAAAGAAATTAATAGTAAGAAGAAGAAAAGAATATGAAGTTCGAGAATCAGCTGTGCTGGGCACCTCAGGTTTCCTGCCCTGGGCCAGGGCTTGACTATGAAGAATAAGGAACTGGCAACCGTTGAGCCAACCAACAAATGAGGTGTGAGGAGACCCCTTGTGTTTTTAGCTCGAAGAGTTAATACTTTGCATAAACCCCCAGTTTTGTCAGCAATTATTTTAATCAACATTGAGAATTAATTAGAGATCAAAATTTGGTTTTGAAGAAAAGACATGCATTTTGATTCAATTCATGATTTATTAGTGGCCATGTTCCAGGGGGCATAGATGATACTTACTTGTAGAGAAAGGCATATTGCTCTTTATACGTGTTCCTTCCAAGCCGAGAGCTAATCACATAGTTGTACCTCATGCCTCTCCTTGAGTTTCTAGAAAACAAAGATTTCACACTGCCTCTTAAGGAATAAACATTCCCTTACTGCACATTTTCCCCTCTTTCCAATCTGCCCCCATGCACCCAGTGGCATTCCATGGAAGAGCCACTGTTCATCATAACCTTTGAGTCCAGTAAGAAGGGCCACCGTTGATTGACTGGAATGTGGCATCTGCTGGGATCTTTATAGCCATTATTTCTTGCCTTATGAGGACAGTATTATCATTAGCTCCTTTTTATGGTTTGCAAGCGCAAAGTTGGGATTTGAACCCAGATCCAACTCACCCCCAAACCCACATGCTTTGGCCTGAACCTATGGGAGGCCATTGAGACCCTAGAAGATGATTTGGGCCAGAATCAGCCCCTGACCCCGCTCATGCCCATGGCCAGCTGCAGCTCATACTTTCTGGTGGAATAAACTTCATCAGGTCACCTGTCCGTATGCACAAACCACCCCTGAGCATTTATCATGAGCAGGAATATTCTCTCCTCTGAAAACCCCCAGGCATTTTCTCATGAGCCTTGGGACGATGATTTCAACTCACTTGTTTATATCCTGGGTGCTGGGGATACAGCCATGGCCCTGCCCTTCACCTGTGCCAGGGGAACCAGGCTCTGTGTGTTTGCCAAACCTGCTGATAACTCCACTCTGGGCAGCGCCTAACAGTTTCACTCTATCTGCTCAGAGAAAGATCTAGGGCATGTCTTTGGGAAAAAAGCAGAGGGGGTGTTTAGGGGCCAACTAAGACCTTATGGAAATTCCCAGGACTTCATATGCATTATTCTAAGGTGGACCCAGCCCCTGGGGCCCCTGGAGTGTGGATGGGAGGTTCTGCCAGGCTTCCCCTTTGTGGAGGCTGGCCCCGGTTTGGACCTAGCCTGCCAAGTCCTGAGTTAGCAAACTGTTTGTGCTGACTCAGCTGCAAAGTGACTAAGACCCATCCTGGCTTGTGGGGGATAAGGGGACAAACAGGCTTGGCTCTGCCTGGAGTCCACAACAGTCTAGACAGGTTGGGGAGTGCCAAGACCACTGGTGGTGAAAAGACTCGCCCCACACTGACTGTTGTGGAGATGCCTGGAGCTCACCTGTTCCCTCAGTCTCCCACAAACCTGACTGGAGCTACTGCAAGGAAGGCTGAGGTGACAAAGGATAGAGCACTAGCTATGAGATCAGACATGATGCAAGGTCAAAGGTGGGCTTGGCCGCCTACTGGCTGGGTGACTCAGGCAGGTCCGCCTCCTCAGTTCCCCCACTATAAGGGAAGCCCTTAGGCAGATTGACATGGATTCTTGCCTGTTTCTACAGTTGTCCTCACCTTCCTTTCCTATGATGGGTAAGCCCTGAGGCTGGGGGGTGACAGCATCAGGATCTACCACCTTGCCCCTGTCCAACACTCAGACATGGCATTTGTTCAAAATTCCATATTAAGTGTGTCTTGCTGAGATGGCCAGGTGCAGTGGCTCACGCCTGTAATCCCAACACTGTGGGAGGCTGAGGCAGGCAGATCACTTGAGGTAGGAGTTCAAGACCAGCCTGGGCAACGTGGCAAAACCTCGACTCTATGAAAAATACAAAAATTAGCCAGGCATAGTGGTGCTTGACTGTAAATCCAGCTACTTGGGAGGCTGAGGCAGGAGAATTGCTTGAACCTGGGAGGCGGAGGCTGCAGTGAGTGGAGATCTTGCCGCTGCACTCCAGCCTGGGGAACAAGAGTGAGACTCTGTCTCAAAAAAAAAAAGTACTAAAATAAAAAGCAAGTGGCCCCCATTCCTTCACTAGCCCCCTTCACCACAGCTCTCTGATCACACCCGCAGAAGTAACCACTATTAACAGTTTGGAGAGGGTCCTTCCAGTCTTTCATCTTCCATGCACATGGAAACACAAATAGATCCTTGTTCATGTAACATTATGACTCAAATGGGCTATTTTACCTACAATTCTCAACTTGCTTTTTTTCAACATATTGCAGCCATTATTCCATGCTTGAATATTTAGCTCTAAGTTATTCTGTAGCAAGCATGACTTTTTTTTTAAGAGACAGTCTTGCTCTGTGGCCCAGACTGGAGTGCAGTGGAGTGATCATGGCTCACTGTAGCCTAAACCTCATGGGCTCAAGCAGTCCTCCCACCTCAGCCTTCCAGGTAGGTGAGACTACAGGCATGCTAGGCATGCACCACCATGCCTGGCCACTAGCATGATTTTTAACAGCTGCATAATATTCCAGTGTATGAACATGTCATAATTTTACTGATCTTTCTTCTATTGTTGGTTAATCTTTTCTCTTTTTTCCAACATCTTCATAATTGTACTTTTTAGCTTAGCCTTGTCTGTTTTTTTCATTTATTTCTTCCAGACCCCTCATCTATTTCCCCAATTCTGTTTTATCATTGTGAAATCAGCTGATTGAACGTTCTCAGGACCATGGTTAAGGGAGTTGGAATCCTGGGCAGCACTGGCTGTGTGAACTGGTGGTCAAGTGTGAGATCTCACATGACTTTCAGTTCCTGGGGGCTTTCAGATGCCCTTACACTTGACCTTGAGCCCTAGAGGGCCCATCCTTCCCCATGTTACCCGTTCAGCTTCTCCATCAGCATGGGGCAGATCCTGTTGTTGCTGTCCTTGATTTCCATCACGAGTATGATGTCACAGCGTTTGATGACCTGCAAGAAAGAGAATTCACAGGGGTTTGAGGTCACCTGGACAGGTGAGTGCTGGTCTCTCCCCATTCTGTTTCCAGAGCACATGTTCCAGTTTCATCTTCAGAAGGACCGAATGAGGAGAGACCAGCACTCATCTGTCCAGGTGCCTCTGGGACTGGGGTTCAGCCTTTAGGAGGGTGCCCTAGGCAGGAGGTCCACCTATGTAGTGACTGAGGAGTAGAACAATGTCCTAAGGCTGGAGCCTTCCATGGACAGCTTGAATTCCACGCAGGGCTCTCCTGCAAGCTGGAAGCTGCTGGCCAAGTCAGCCTGCCGATTTAGTTACTGTGACTGCCACACCTTTCTGGAAGGCATTTTCAAATATATATACCCTTTGACCCAGTTTTCCCACTTTGAAGAATGTCATCCTGCAGGGCAAGCTGGCTGAAGCCTGTAATTCCAACCCTTTGCGGGGGCCAAGGCAGGCAGATCACCTGCGGTCAGGAGTTTGAGACCAGCCTGGGCAACCCCATCTCTACTAAAAATACAAAACTCAGCCAGGCATGGTGGCACACACTTGTAATTCCAGCTACTCAGGAGGCTTAGGCAGGAGAATCACTTGAATGGGGGGGTGGACAGAGGTTGCAGTGAGCCGAGATTGCAGCACTGCACTCTAGCCTGGGTGCTAGAGTGAGAGTCCATTTCAAAAAAAAAAAAAAAAGAATGTCTTTCACTGTAAGGAAATAAGAAATATCCACTATTTATCTGCACCTCAGGTTCCTCATCTATAAATTGGGATGATAATATCAGTCCCTCACAGGGTTGCTAAAGGATTAAGTGGGTACCAGTGCCAGCCATATAGGAGACATGTAAAAAGTTATTGTCACCTGTACAGATCAAATAGAAAGATATATTGCATCAAAAAATTGGAAACAACCTAGGTATTGCCAAACAGAAAAACAGTCAATGGATTATGTTGCAAACACAGGATAAGGCATTATATAGCGCTAAAGCCATGTTTTAAAAGAATATGAACATCATGGGAAATATTTTTAATATAAAGCAGATACAAAACTGATGCCAGAGGATGGTGTCCATGCTTCGAGACCGATGCACTCACACATGCCTGCAAGAAAGTTACCCAAATGCCAGCGACTCTTACCTTCTAGTCACAGGAAAATGAATAATTCTTTTCTTCTGTACAGGCTTCTATGTTTTAAAAATAGTCTCCAATGACCATTTTCATTTTAATAATCATTGTTTAATTTATACAAAATAAAATTTAAAAAAATTAGACCTTAATAATTAAAGTCTGATTTAAAAAAGAAAACTGCTTGATGAGGAAGGAATCGTCGGGGGTAATGACCAACATTTATTGGGACATGACAGGTGCATTTCCAACTAACTTATTTAACATAAGTGTAATGAGTTGTCTTATATAACATGCTTAATACAGTGCCTGGCACACAGGAAGGGCTTCATGAGTCACCGCTATCACTGACTCATCAATTTTCATGGTAACTCTTTAATGCTAGTCCTCAATACCAGTGTAGTTGGGTACTCTGAGGCTCCATGAGGTTTAGTAATTTGAACACAGAGTGAATATGAGACAACAAGTTATCTACACTACAGAGCACCTTCTTGACCACTATATTTATTTATTTATTTTTGAAATGGAGTCTCGCTCTGTTGCCCGGGCTGGAGTGCAGGGGTGTGATTTCAGCTCAACACAAACTCCACCTCCTGGGTTCAAGCAATTCTCCTGCCTCAGCCTCCCAAGTAGCTGGAACTACAGGTGCCTGCACCACCGTGCCCAGCTAAGTTTTGTATTTCTAGTAGAGACAGGGTTTTACCATATTGGCCAGGCTGGTCTCAAACTCCTGACCTCAGTTGATCCATCCGCCTCAGCCTCCTAAAGTGCTGGGATTACAGGCATGAGCCACCATGCCCAGCAAAATACTCCATTTTCAAATCTCTCTTGACACATGTTCTCCCTGCTCAAATTTCAGACCAGGAAAAATATACTTGCCCTGGTTCCATCTCCTCAAGAGAGCCCCAGGGAAGGAACCTTCCAGAGCTGAGACCTGAAACACTGATGTTTCCCTGACTAAGGCCAAATTCCTGACTCTGTTCACAGGAAGGGAAGAGGAATTTCTGCGTTGTGCACACCCAGTGTTGAGAGAATCCATCAAGGTGTGTTATAAGTGGCCCTGAGGAGAGGGGAAAAGATGGTCTGGAGGGGTCTTGAAATATCCGGGGCTGGCCAGGCACGGTGGCTCACGCCTGTAACCCCAGTGCTTTGGCAGGCTGAGGCAGGAGGAGCTTGAGCTCAGGACTTTGAAACCAGCCTGGTAACAAGTGAGACCCCATCTCTACAATCTTTTTTAAAAAAAACTTTTTTTTTTTTAGGTTAGCCAGCCTGATGGTATGCTCCTGTATTTCCAGCTACTCAGGAGGCTGAGATGGGAGAATTGCTTGAGCCCAGGGGGTCAAGGCTACAGTGAGCAGTGATTGCACCACTGCACTCTAGTCTGGGCAACAGAGCAAGAACTTGTCAAAAAAAAGGAAGACAGAGAGAAAGAGAGGGAGGAAGGGAAGGAGGGGAAGAGAAAGAGGAAAGAAAGAAAAGAAAAAGAGAAAGAAGGAAAGAAGAAAGAAGGAAAGAAAGAAAAAAGAAAGAAGGAAAGAAAGGAAAGAAGGAAGGAAGAAAGGAAAAAGATGAGAAAGGAAGGAAAGAAAGGAAGGAAAATTAAGAGAAAGAGGAAGGAAGAAGGAAAGAAGATAGAAAAATTAAGAGAAAAAGGAAGAGAAAGAAAGAATGAAAGGAAGAGAAGAAAGAAAGAATAAATTAATAAATAAATGAGGGAAGAAAAGAAAAGAAAGATCTGAGGCAGAGGGTGGCTTGTGAAACCCTGTTTCATGCCTCTTGGGAGGGAGCAGCTCAGCATGGTGGGAAGAGCCTAGGCTCCAATCCTCCCTCTGCCACTTATGTGCTTCACAACTATTTGGGCAACTCTCTTCACCTCTCTGAGCTCCATCTGCCTCCTCTGCCAAATGTGCACAATAATCAGAGTGGCTGGGAGGCTGAACTGGATACTGCCCATTAGGGGCCTGGCACATAGCACTCACTGCTGAAATGTTAATTGCCCTCTGCTGTAAGCTCCGTGAACAGGGAGGGAGGCAATGCCTCCCACAGCCACTGCCACATCCTCAGAGCCTTGACGTGTCTGACGCAAGGTCTAGCTTCAATGAGCCTTTGCTGGATGAACAAGCTCTGTTCTTTAAGGTCATACTGGAGAACACACGGACAGAGGAGACTCGGCCAGGCAGGGTATGCATACCACACAGCTGCCCATGGTATGCGGGGGCCGCCCCAAGATGGAGAAGGCAGGCCTCCCTTCCTCTCCAGCCTCCCCAGTGCAGGTCAGAATGATGGCAGCATGACGCTGCTGAGTCTCTGAAGTGATAAATCTGGGGTGGAAGAGTGGAGAAGGCATCTCAGCTTCTATGGCTAGGCTGCAGAGGGGTGTTTGACCCCAGCTCTTCCCCTTCCTGGCTATGGAAACCTGGATAAGGGGTTACTCTCAGCCTCAGTTTTCTCAGTTTTCTCAGTTATGAAGTGCGGACAACACCACCTAAGTCACAGTATTAAATAAGAATATAGGATTCCTGGCCTATAGGAGGTGCTTAGTCAATGGGTGCTGGAGATAATCCTATTCTGAATGCCTGGCATTCTTGGGTGACTGTGAGTGCCCTGTTGGGTGACTCTTGCAGTGTTTTGGGGATGGCCTCTCGGTAGGGTGGGGAGGGTGGGGCAGCCTTGACAAGGACTTTGGACGTGCCTTGCAGGACACGGCTGCTCGGGGGAGATGCAGAGTTTGAGCCCCCATGATGGGCTGCATCAGTGAGGAAGGAGATGGGAACTCAGTGGCTGCCCAGGCTCCACAGGCCTTGTGCGAAGTGGGGAGCGTCATCTCCTTGCATGTCACGGTTTCCCATTGAACACCCTTGTCATGGCTCGCACAGGCCTGGCATTGCTATCCTGGTTAAACGACACCATCTAGAAGGCCTTGGGTACCTCCCAAAGGGTAGGGCGACCCAGATCTAAGAGGCTCATCCAACTAAGAACAAAGCCTGCCAGTCCTCACTCCAATCCTCCTTCCCAATGAGAGCAACAGCAGCGGCTCTGGCTCATGAATACCCGCCTTGTTACAGGTGCCTCAGGCACCCTGAGTTCTCTTCACCAGCTGGTGCTACAGGTGGCAGTGGGGCGTGGGCGCCGTTTTACTGCAAGGAGCTGGTGGTTCAGGGAGGTGCAGGAACTCCCGAGCCCACAAGTCTGGCAGGTGGGATCTGAACCCAGGGCTCCTGGCCCCCCCACCACACCATAGTGCCCCAGGTTTCCTAAGGTAATAAGTACCCCTCCAAAGTCCCGGGGAAGGGTTAAGTTGCCAGCATCAACAATAAATTAACCTGTAGGATAAAGGGAGTCAACTGACTCCAGAGAAAGCAAGCGGTGTCCCAGACATTGGGTATATCACCCAAGAAAGCGTAAGTGAAGGTGGAAGGAGAGGGGGGAGTAGAGGAGAGGGAGAGAGGAAGGAAGGAGAAGAAGGAAGAAAGAGAAAGAGAAGGAAGAAAAGAAAGAAGGAAAGAGAAAAAGAAAAAGAGAAAGGAGCTGGACTTTGCTGGTGAAAGGACCAGCTGTACAAGGTTACTTCATCTTTCCTTGGTCACCACCTCTGCCTGGGGAGTAATAGTCCCTCTTCATAAAGATTATGAAATGAAATCATGGGCTTACAGTGCCTGATACAGGCGTTCAATAAATGGCAATAAAAATCGTAACAGCCGACTCTTACCTGGAACGTATAATGAGCCAGATACTACATTAAGTGCTTTCCACTTGCCAACTCCTGCAGTCCCCCCAGCCATCCTGGAGGATTGTTATCACCCCTGTTTTCAGATGATAGCAGGAGGCACAGAGAGTTGAAATGGTTGTTGTTCTGAACCAGCTGCTATCTTCCCCCTAAGGGCTAACTTTAAGTTCCTTGCTGTCTCTTAAAGTCTGAAGACGGGAAAGGGCTTGAGGGGTGTCTGGGATCCTCATCCCAGAAAAGGGGCTCACCTTCACAATGACATCCATGGCATTCTGGTCTTCCTGCTTGCTTTCTCCAAAGGACCTCACATTGAAGGAGCAGATCTTCAGAGCCAGGGCGCTGTGGATGGAGAGGAGGAGAAGCAGCAGTGGGGCCAGTTCCCGTGACATCCTGGCACTGCTCTGGCTTCAAGACTCTGTGAAAAGACAGCAGTGCTTGGAATGCAGAATTCTGGCCACCTCCAGAGGCTCCACTGACTTATAAAGCCTGCAGATAACAGGAATTACTGGATTTCTCATGCGACTTTCAGTTCTCTGAGGAACTGAAGATCATGGGTTTTAATCCCCAAGGAAATACAGATACGTTGGGCTAGCCTTTTAGGAGCCCTTATGTTCGTCACCCTGGTGCGGAAATTGGCATGCTCATTTAGGCGCCATCCTCCATAAAGTCACTCATATCCCAACCGGGAGCCAGCTCTGACATCTAGTCATCAGGCCTGCGGTGGCATGCCATGTGCCTCTTCCTGACAGTGGATGAATTCGGAAGTGGTCCACCCTAGAGGGCACCTGGGGTGATGGAACCTTCTGCTGGGGGACAATGAAGCAAGAGGCATGGGAAATTCTGCTGGATTTTCTCTAAATCACTGGGATTTGGCGGCCCACTGTCCTCGGACACACCCAGACTGTGACTCTAATTGCCCTGGTGGTGTAAAGTAAGGTCAAGTGTAGTTTGAATTACCTAATTTTGTAGGCAGTTTTACTGTACAAATTCTAGCAGTGTGTTGCCAGAGAAAGCAATGGGGATCTGATCGAATGGATGAGGAAAATTTCCCTTGACTTTGAGAGCAAATAGCCTGTGAAACCCATGGAGAGACCCATGGTCCAAGCTGATATTAATTTAATGTTGGCGAGAGTTGTGCGACCATGGGAGAAAAAGGTCTTGTAAGAACTGTAGGATTTCAGCTCAAGCAAAATGATTTTTAGAGATTTAGGCAGGAAACTATGAAGATCTGTAAAGCAAAAATAAAAAAAAGCAAAATCCAATCAAGGTATATATTAATGGACTTGGGCAAAGATAATTCTTCTGTGAAAAGGGTAAGGAATAAGAATAACTCAAAGTCAGCACCGTGACCTCCGGACCACCCTCTCTCAAGGTGATGGATCTGTGGCCATAGCCTCAGAGAAAATTATATATATATGTATATATCTCCCCAGCATACACCCAGGCAGCATCCTGACTAAGCATGCCAAGAATTCTAGAAGATAACCCCAAATAGAACATGGAAGGAAATGGTTTCCTGAGTTCGTGCTGCAATGAATCTCCCCGTTGTCTAAGACCTCAGGCCTGGTTGAATCTCTGGTAAAAAGTAGTTCTGGGCTGGGTGCAGTGCCTCACTTTAGAAGGCTGAGGTGGGCGGATCAGTTGAAGTCAGGAGTTCGAGACCAGCCTAGCCAGCATGGTGAAACTCCGTCTCTACTAAAAATACAACAATTAGCCAGGCGTGGTGGCCCATGTCTGTAATCCCAGCTACTTGGGAGGCTGAGGCAGGAGAATGGCTTGAACTTGTGAGGTGGAGGTTGCAGTGAGCTGAGATTGTACCACTGCACTCCAGCCTGAGTGACAGAGGGAGATTCTGTCTCAAGAAAAAGTATCTCTAGGGAATGGTTAATTGTCTTTCTTGTTGAATGGGCATCTTCCCACTAGAAAAGGATTTAGAATTAAGTGTAGAAATGTTTAAGAGACTCAGAGCCATGGTATAATGTTCTTGTGTGTTTTAAGATGAAATCTGTGGTATTTTATGGACTTAGAGCTTCTTGGCTTACTAAAGAGAAAATCTTATAACTCTTTTATAAAATGTGCAGTTGGTAGGGTTTGATTCAGACTAATGACTTTACATCGAAACCTTAGTCTGAATACAGTTATTTATAAGCACTCTGGGTTAGCAGTGTTTTGCTTATTTAATTTATTAGGATTCAAATGATTTAGTATTTTTTAAAGGTAGCTTTTTTTGTTAGTTCAGACTATTGAAGAACTTTTAAAAGGAAATAGGGTATATTAAATAAAGTTTAAAATGTTTATAAATCAGCCGCAAACCCCTTATAAATAATTATTTAGGTGTGGTGGATTTAGGGTTGGAAGATTTAACAAATGAAAATATAGAACTGTAGGTCGTTTGAATTTGGAGTAGTTCTTATTTAATTGGGCAACCTGTATTTGATCTGGAAATCCTAGCTGGATTTACAAAAATAATGAGAACTTTTGAGAGCTGAACTTAAAAGCATGGCATTTTCTTTTTTTTCTTTTAACACATTTTTTTCATTTTAAATTTTTGCAGGTATATAGAAGGTGTATATATTTATGGAGGCATGGTATTTTCTAAGATAATAATCATTCCATCAAAGTCCAAGAAATAAAAAAAAAAGCTGAATAGAATAAAGTCAACTTAACCTTTTTTTCATTTCCAGCTTTGACGATTTGAATACTAACTTGAAAAAAATAAAGTAAAACAATATATAGTGGTTTCTACATACAGAAACTGGCTTTGAGGAATTAAAAGATTCACATGAACAAATTGAAGAGATGGACCCCATTCTCTAATTAGCACATTCACTGCATGAAATTTGACTTTTTTTTTGAGACAGTTTCCCTCTTGTTGCCCAGGCTGGAGTGCAATGGTGCAATCTCAGCTCACTGCAGCCTCCCCCTCCTGGGTTCAAGCAATTCTCCTGCCTCAGCCTCCTGAGTAGCTGGGATTATAGGCATGAGCTGCCATGCCTGGCTAACTTTTTTGTATTGTTTTAGTAGAGACTGGGTTTCTTCATGTTGGTCAGGCTGGTCTCGAACTCCTGATCTCAGGTGATCCGCCCACCTCAGCCTCCCAAAGTGCTGGGATTACAGGCATGAGCCACCGCACCTGGCTGAAATTGGACTTTTTAAAAAAATGCCTGGACTCTGGAAGGAAAATACTATGCCAGATTTACCTGAGTCCATATAGACGTAGGTGCCGTGTTAGGGCTCTCTGGGTTTGATCTCACTCCATATCCCCCAAGCCCTTCCAATACCTGCATTATGTTAGAGACAAGCAAACAGGCTTGTGCCCAAGGATACAGTTTAGTATGTGGCAAAGCTGAGATTCGAGCCCAGTCATTCTGACTCCAGATTAACCTTCTCGCCCACCAAAAGGCATACTGAAACCTTAGTATGGAACACTGCGGGGTGCAGGGAGGGATGCAGGGCAGGAGGTGAAAGCAGGACTTCCACTTTTTACTCTAGACACTTGTGTATGGTTTGATTTTTTTTTTTTTTTTTTACATAACATGTACTTCTTTAGTAATTAGAGAGGAAGAAAAAAGTGCTAAGAGTTTTTCATTCTTTTAAGCAGGTTAAGAAATGCCCATGCAAACAAGTTTTCTGTCTTTGTGTGCCACTGAGTCAAGGGAAGCTTTCGCCTACCTCCAAGAGTCATTGACCCTACCCCCAGAAGGTTCACTCCAACCTCTCCACGTAGTACTGGAGGACCCAGGAAACGCAGAAACCCTCTGTCTCATTCTTCCGTTGGCTTCTCTTGCTGGGAATTGGGAATTTTGAGGCAGCCCTCCTGGGAGCTGAGAGCCCAGAAGGAAAAGCAGACACTTGCCTAATGCCTGCTGACAGCCCAGGGCTCTCCATCCTCAGGAGGAAGTTTCCTGCTGCATATACTTGCAAATGCCAGTCTGTAAGATGCACCTGGAAGGAAGAATAAATATGTGTCACTCTTTCTTGGAGATTTGTAATGCACATTAGCATATTAAATGTTTTGAAAAGTCCTGTAATTGTAAAAAGCCGCTTAATTATGTTGAAACAGGGTGTCACAGATTTGCTGTCTGTGGAGCCCTTTTCTTCACAGAATTTCTTCATAGACTATCTTGAGCAACATCCATTCTTGGGGATACTGTCCTTGATTGTGCAGTGACAATCAGATCCCCTCACAGCCTCAAGCTCTTGCCCTGGTCAATAAGTCCCCGCTGAAGAGCTCCATGTGTGTCACATAGATGGGCTGAAATGAGGATCAGGAGTTCAGACACATGGCCCCCAACAGCCACCTACAATGGGCCATGATGGGACAGGAGTCAGTGGAGGAGACAGATACATTTGCACAAAGGCTACCTTGGAATTTGAGAAAGGTGAGATATGGAGATTTCAGGAGAAGCAAAAGTGTCACAGGCTGAGTCACCCAAAAGCAGCAAGAAGAAACATGAAGGCTGCAGGACAGTTCCCACTCCTGGCAGAGGACAAGCCTCGTGATCCAAACAGGTGTTTCCAGTGACTGATGCTGGTCTTTGTCCAAAAATAAATAAGCATTAATTTTGCAACATATACAAAATGCTCCATCATCACGTTTCGCAACCAGCTTAGAGTTTGCGGGGAGAAAGGTGCGTGAGTTAAGGTTGTGTAACTGACAAACCTCACCTTTGCAGGCTTGTTTCCAGATGATGACACACGCTCTGGGTTTCAGCCTTACACACCGTCCTCCACACAGTGCTGTGCCGGACCTTGAGAGTCACTTTCTGAGGGCAAGCCTGCTCTGATTAAAATCTTTCTAGTGTCTTTTATTTGTCAAAAACCTATCTCCTTAATGTGGCCTCCACTTGCCCACATTTTCCAGGTCATAATGCTCTACTCCCCTCTTACTCCCCCACTGGTCTCCCCTCCCCCTGCCTGGCTTTCGTGCCTTGGCACAGCTGTTCACTCTGCTTACAATACTCTTCCTTCCTCCGGCCTCAGGGTTCGGCTTAACTGTCACACCCTCAGAGAAGCCCTCCTGGCCTCCTGACCCCATCAGAGTCTTCCCTCTTCTTCTCTCTCGGGTGCCCAGGTCTGTCACTTCATAGCATGCATTACAATGTCTTATTCCCTCTGAGCTTGTGTGTTTCCTTGTCTACTGTTGTCTCCCCACCAGGCAGCTGCATAGAAGCAGGGGTACCTCTGTGTGTCCGTGCCGCCTGGAACAGGACTGTCAAGTTGCAGATGCTCAGTAAGTCATTGCTGAATGCGATATATGATGCTCTAATGGACTCCAGAGACCAAGTTCTTCTTTTTTTTTTTTTTGAGACAGCGTCTCATTCTGTCACCCAGCCTGGAATGCAGTGGTGCTATCTCAGCTCACTGCAGCCTTGATCTCCCAGGCTCAAGTAATCTAATCTTCCTACTTCTTCCCAAGTAGCTGGGACCACAGGTATGTGCCATCGTGCCAGGCTAATTTTTGTTTTGTTTTTTTTTTTAATAGACACAGGATTCCACCATGTGGCTCCAGCTGGTCTTGAATTCCTGGGCTCAAGTGATCCACCCCGCTTGGCCTCCCAAAGTGTTGGGATTACAGGCATGAGCCACCATGTCCGGCCAAGAGATGGGGTTCTTGATCACATTGTGGGTGCTGTACCAAGGGAACTCAGCTTCCCTGGAAACCATAGGAACCCGCAGCCATAGAGACAAAAGGTGATAACAACCACAACCACAACAATAGCTGCCTTTCACAAAGCACCAAATGCTAAGTCCTCATGTAACTTTCTGACTCGGGAGCACGCATAGAGCAGGCTCCTCAGCCTTGGCACTATGGACATTTGGGGCCAGATAATACTTTGTTGTGGGGACCATCCTGTGTGTTATTGGACATTTAGCACCATCGCCTGCCTCTACCCACTAGATGCCAATAGCATCCCCCAGTTGTGACATCCACAAATTTTGACAGATGTTGCCAAATATCGCCGGGGGCATGGG